TATAAAAGACAAAAATTTATGTTTTACATAGTATATATTTTTCGATTGAATAATATAGAAAGGTTAGTTGAAAGATCTTCAAGGAAAAGAAGTAAATCAATACTTCCCTGGCTTCACAGGGTTAAAACATCAGACATATGATTTATAGATTTTGAGGTTGATCCTCACAAAAAGCAGAATCAATTCTGTGATTTTTACACAAGTAGCAGCAAAACACAAACTGATAGTCATGTTCTAACTTCAGGATCTTTTAGTATATCCTTTGCTGCTTGAACTTTTTTTAAAACCTTTGGTGGTTTTCATTCCCTCTTAATCTCGGACTATTACCACAATTGATTCAAGTGATAAATGACAATGTATTTATGCCCTACCAATACCTTGTTTCTGTTGATGAGTTGAGTTTGAATCTAATTTCAGAGTGATATCCGAAACAATTCTGGTTACAGCCGTATTGAAGGAAGTAATAATCACTTGCTTTAGAGTACTCTAAATCTTACCACTTCTAGTTAAATCTCAACAGGAAGAGAAAGTCACTTTTATTTCTTCTTTATCGGCGTGACAAGAAACTGGTTACTGTTTTATGTTACTTGAATTGTATACTGAATTTAATGATTTACTGTTCATTGGAAAGAAAGTAAGATATCTTTTGATATTGCTCATTTAAGATGACATTTTGTGTAGGAGTTGGTCATATGTTGATTACCAGTCGAATATCTCATCAAGACGAAATTCTGTCTCATAAGTAAATGAAATGTCCTCTATGGTTGATTCAACTTTTGAATTCTTAGAGATTATACTGAATCTATCGAACGAGTTAAACCCTATCCCGAGAAAAACGATTTTCCATATAGTACTAGTATTAGTGTTATTACTAAAGATACAGAGGACTAGGGAGATGAAGACTTGGTTTGAGAAAAACTTGGTAGTGTTTGATTGTCCAATTATTCCTCCGCGATACTTGCACTCTATTTGCGATAATGGATACGTTTTCGTTGACCATCTCATCCTAGATAGCTTCGCGAATCTACTCAAGCGATGAATCGCATTATACCTTTGCAGCGCCACGAATATGTTACTACTAGTTTATATATTTTGACATTAACTAGTTGTTTGTTCAGATATAAATATCTCAAACTGTATTTGATTCAATTCATAATTACTTGTTTTAAAGTACTTTTAGTTGTATCATTTCGTTCCAACCAGCCATTGCTGGGTACTCTATATTCGTTTCCTAGAGAAGAATCAAGAATCAGATGTCAGTTTATTTCAAGTATTCAAATTTTAATGCGTTGCTTGTTAGAAACGTTCAAAGTTGTCTATTAAAATATAGCCTTAGTAATGAATGGAGTCAATGTGTTAGACAAGATAACGGCACAATTCGATGCACAAAAAGTGGAATCAACGTTTCCATTCAAAATCAATTGTTTGATAGCAAGACTAATATACGTTGTTATTTTTTAGGGGTATCTAAGAGAGAGTTGTTTGAATTGTCATTATGTGGACATTGGGTTATCCAATAGAGTTTCTTTTAGATAGTGTTTTTATAGAATGGCTTCTTTAAGGTAGAATTGATACTTTATTGACTACTAGTTGTCAAGTTGATAAAGACTTTGTACCTTTGCACTTGAAATCTTGATGCTGCATGTACAGAGTCTTTATATCCGAAGCAGTGTTTTACGTGGTCTTTAGGCACCCTGTATGCTTGATCCAAAATCGAATTGTCCAAGATTATCTCGAATTGTCTAAAATAATCTAGTCCTTACTCTAAAAGGATGATTTGCAGACTATTATTTGGATCACTTAGAATCAAGTCGAAGATGAATTCATTCGAGAATCACTAGGTGAGAATCCGAATTGCAGCAAAGCATCAATTTTCCCTTGATATTTGCATGCTGTTTGCAATATTAGGGTAAGCCGTTGTCCATAATTCAGTTAAGGTACATTTGTGGATTGAATTTCATATTGAATGACAATGTGTTTCTAGATTATTGAGAGCATGTTACTATTGATGATTATAGATCAATCAGCATTCACTATTCTTTTATCTGTACGGAATTCAATTGAACGTTGCTTGAATCCATTAATTGCTATCAGTATTGGTGAGAGCGTTTTCGTTTTACTTTCTTGGCATTAAGCTCAGCTTGCGTCATAGAATCATTATTTTTTTTTGATAAAGATACTGTGTTAAAAGTCTATTGCTTGTTTCTATTGACTGGTCGGAGAGTAGTCATCATCGTGTTATCTTATCTTTTCAAGAAAGTTGCAATTACTGAACACTAAAAACTGAACTTTAATTGAAAAAAAGTATGACAGCGATAAACTATACTATTCATAGACTACAGAATCACCTGACTCAAAAGAAGATTCAACTAGATTGTAGACGATTGGTCACAAACGAGCCGCAAAAAGAAGCAACGTAATCTTGCTGATACAAGCTATTGAATTCTCTTGTCATGTTGAAATGTTTTTTGTAGTACAAGAAGAAAAAAATCATTCCATTTCAACTCTAACTACAACGCAACTCGAAAAAAAAAAGAAAACAACAATTTGCTTTGGAAGAAAATAGATGATGAAAGATATAAGGTGAAAAAAGAAAGAAATGGCTTTCTAGTTTAATAGACTACAGAAATAGTATTATGAGCAAAAAGTCTTGACTTTGATTCTCACTAAAAACATCAACGATACTCTGGTCGTCACTAGTAGAAAAAATATTCCCTACTATTACCTCATACTGGTAACAGTAGAACGTTTATGATACTTTGTTTTTGTTTATCCATTCTACTGATATGCATGAACTGTATTTGAACACCATAAAATAAAAAGTAGGCTGTTAAAACAAAATGGTTAGTGATACCGTGGTATCCCAAAGCATCACAAATCGCTACAAATTGCTCCAAAGATACAAAGAACCTGATTAGCATTAGGCATCTATTTAACACTCCCACACTCACCTTATTCTTCTTCTTGCTATTCTTTTTTTTATCAAAAATGAATATCATACAATTCTCACTGATAGAAGACAATCAAATTTCTTCTCAAAAGTTACATTGTAGAATAAAGCAAGGAATATACAATCTTACTTGCAGAATCATTATTTGCATCTTTGTAGATACTATGTTTTATATAGTTGTAACTTTCTTTACTGGTTTGGAAAGTGTAGACAGCAACATTTATAGGAAGAACAATATTAAGCTTATGATTCAACTCGATCTTGATACTAGTATTCCATGAAGAAGGAATCACTCCTCATCATACTCGACGAATAGTTTTAGATTCGAACTAATCAATCTTTGTCAATCAACAACTTGACCGGAAAAAAGTTGCTTGTATTTATTTCCATTGCAAAAATCATTGAGGCCTTGGTATAAACTGACAGAAATGATTATAAAAGCAGAATTTACTGTTTGATTTGCACATTTGACGACAACAATAACAGCAACTCTTAGAAGAGACAGGACAACACTTCTCACTACAGCATTATTCTCGAAGAGTAATAGGCATACTATTTCTTCTATAGTTCGTCATTTATTTAGAATTGTGATTGGTGTTTTACGACCACTCTCTTTCTGTATTTTAAAAACTCAATACATTCCTAAATTGTGGAAGGGATATATTTTTCTATCTAATCGACAAGACTAGAGACAATAGGGATAGGAGCTAGTGTCCAGGAATCAGTTTGAATTCAACTGATTTTAAGATCATAGTTTCGGCTATGTTGAACCGAGTTTAAACTGTATTGAGTGGAGAAATAAGAGATTGTGCAAAACAGGGCAATCAACTATCAAAACAGTGAATAGACCAAGTCCTTTGCTTGATAGAATCAGATAGAAGTTGTTGAATGAAGAATAGTCAATTGTTTCTTAAGCACCTTTCATTCTCTCGTTCTAGGAGCCTTACCTAAAGAAACGCACGAGTTCGTCATAAATAGAGTACCTTTGGTTTTTGTCATATCATTTATGCCTAGTGATAAGGTCAATTTTAAGTTGCAGAAAGAGGGACTCTAATCTATCCAGGCAACTTTTCTATTGAACTCGGTGTCAAATAGAATGACTTGACCTTGTTCATATGAATTCATATTCTGGTTTTGAATACTATATTTGAAGAGTACCTATTATATGCTATTCGAAATTTTCCTTAACTTTTTTTTTCACTGTTTATCATACAGATTATCATACAACTCAGTTTCATAGAAGCCTTGGTATCGTTGAGACTATCAAGTTTTATGGCTATGAATTGTACGGTTTTGATAGAACCCAATTGTCACCAATCTGTTCCATCAAAGATTGATTTGATAGTGGGACGTGCATGCTGCCCCAGTTAACTACAAAATCATATACATACGAGATAATTCAACTCAATTGAACGGAACTGTATGCTCAGCAACTTTAGAGATCATTCCTATTTTAAGTAGAAGAACGCAAACATTCGCTTTTTGTTCTTTGAAAGATTTGAAGCAACATAATAACTTGAGAGGATTGACGAAGAAGTACTTTGATCCTAACCTTTGATTGTTAGTACTTCAAGTCATACTGAGACATATGGTTATGTCCGTTTACTTCCTTTGTTGAAAAAAGTTGTCTCTTATCTTTGTTATATTAAGCTATTACAAAATCAAGTTGATAACCTGGTACCGCTTTTACTAGTACAGGATGCCATTCACAGCAGACTCTTTGTCATCTTTATGGATGAAGAATTGAGTTTGGCTTGTGTTGATTCATTGATTGAATGATTGATTGCTTTGTGTTATACTAGCATATTTATTTATCAACTGACAAATAATTGCACTTGGGCTTGTGAAATTGACTGATTCCAGTATTTGAGGAATAGTAGTAGGTCAATTCTATTCAAAAAGATGATCTAAGAATTCACTTTAGACAGGTTGTTGATTTGCAAGTCAAAGACAAGTCGTAACCAAAGAAAAAGATATATACAAGCCAAGTGACATAAATAGGAGTAGTTTCATTGTGCATTCTCAAGATGAATATGGATTAGATTGGATAGTGCTAATAGAATGAAATGGGTTGTTTGAACCACACGGGGTTGTCCGCCTATTATGAGTTCTTTAGCTCATCAAGATCTTTTATCGTGACACTCGAAACCTCTCTGTCCCATAAGAAGAGTCGTTATACCCTAGACTTTGGTTTACATAGTATTTATATATGCTCAATAGTCTATTTAATACCGATTGCTTCACGATTGTATGGATTTATTGGAAGAATTTACCCAAGCAGAGTTGGCAGACGAAATACCAACGAGTACNAGTATTCTTTCATCTAAATACACAGAGGACAATCTAGTTGATAGTTAGCTTTGCAAGAATCATAACGAGAGAAAATCCCCAAATTCTCCTCATAGTTGTAAATAACTTTTGATATTACCTAGGTCGATCGAAACTCGTTTGAATCCATTGTTTCCAGAATTGACCCAATATAGGATCATATTGGGAAACTGTAAAAAAGAAGATTTTGTTATTGCTGTTTGGTCTGATTCTGCATAGTATGTTGAGCACCAATATACACACTTTTTAGTGATTTTTTCTGCTAATGGGAAAGATGGGCAATTTGGAAAGAGTGGCCGATTGGGAATGGGCCCGCGCAATTTTGATTTAAAAATTGCCATTATGGGTGTGGGGTGGTAAAGAATGGGTAAATTGGGAATGGGAGAGAGTGAAGAAATTGCGAAGGGGAAAATGGGTGGGGAAAGGGGCCAATTGGGGCCAACCCCAAGGTGATCGTGATTTGAAATTGCCATTGTGGTGGGCTGGGTAAGAATGGGCCCATTTGGAGATGGGAGGGGAAATAGGGCCAATTTGGAAAGAGCGGTCAATTGGAAATTGTGAGGATAGTGTGTGTAAAAATCAGTAAAGCCATTTAAAACAGTAAAAGATCATTCCAAGAAAGTTAACTTTGATTTCCACAGTGATAACAAAATATTAAGAGCCAATGCTTTAAAGACACATTCTATGCAAAAGAAGAGAAGAATGACAAAAAAATGGTTATTTTTTTCCTTTCTTTCAAAAATACTTGTTTTGAATAACCATAACAAAAAAATACGTTTCAATTCAGCAAAATCACAGTCTGTAACATGTTTAAGTTCAACCTCAATATTGTTTGAAATGACTCTTTAAAAATGGACAAGTACCCTTGAGAGTAACGAGTTTGGAAAAACACACAAGTGATAGAGTTGAGTAGCCAGTTGAATGATATCATCGTTTGGTTTACCAAGACAATGAACAAAGCTACAAGTAGTAAAAGTCAAAGAAAAGTTGTCCTTTTCGAACAAGTCTTTACGAAACCTTGAGACAAAGACACCCAAGAAACACAAGAAAAGAACCCTTGACAACTTTTTGTTTACCTGTTGAAGCATAACCATACTTGAAGGATTGGAGTACAGTCTTATCCATAGCCAAGAACTGTGTTCTAGTCGTCAACGACAAGGGCTTGTTAATGTCTGTACGAAAAAGTGCAGCAACTACAGCCTTGGAGATAGGTTTGGTTTTACTAGATTGTCTTAAGGTGATACCTAAAAAAGTATGTTTCACTCTCCAGACACTGCCCCTACATCGGGACA